TATACCTACACTTGTACACACACTACCATACTACCACAGCTCAACAATAAACCTATGCACCATGCTCTTCCACAAATATATACCTACACTTGTAAACACACTACCATACTACCACACCTCAACACTAAACCAATGCACCATGCCACACCACAAATATATACCTATATTTGTACACACACTACCACACCTCAACAATGAACTTATGCACCATGCTCAACCACAAATATACACCTACACTTGTACACATACTACCACACCTCGACACTAAACCTATGCACCATGCTACACCACACAGCTCACACACCCAGCACCGTCTGCAGATGAGTCATCATCTCCACCTGTTGCTGCCCACTGCGCTTGCTGCCATCCACGAGTTCCTTGGAGATGCTCAGCACGTCCCGATGTAACACCTCTGTTCCAGTCTGCGTATGCGGTACAGATGTTCAGGATGGTATGTTAGATGGTGATGGGTGGCATGCATGGGGGTTCATACTACGCAGTACACACATGGGCAGATGTTCAGGATGGTATGTTAGATGGTGATGGGTGGCATGCATGTGGGTTCATACTACGCAGTACACCCATGGGCAGACATGTTAGATGGTGATGGGTGGCATGCAAGGGGGTTCATACTACGCAGTACACACATGGGCAGATGTTCAGAATGCTATTTTAGATGGTAATGGGTGGCAGGTCTTTGAGTTTTGTACTACACACATGGACAAGGTAAGCATCTGAAGCTTGTGCGCATGTGTATACATGCATATATGATAATGCATAGTAGCTATTAACACATGATAATTTATAAATGATAATGCACAGTAACTATTAACATATGTTTATTTATACATGATAAAAGCACAGTAGCTATTAACACATGATAATTTATATATGATAATGCACAGTAACTATTAACATATGTTTACTTATATATGATAAAGCACAGTAGCTATTAACACATGATAATTTATATATGATAATGCACAGTAACTATTAACATATGTTTATTTATATATGATAAAGCACAGTAGCTATTAACACATAATTATTTATATATGATAATGTACAGTAGCTGCACTGCCGATAGGGTATACAACATCTCGGCAGCGTGATATAGTAAAAGTGTATATTTCTAAAAAGAGAGACCTTCAAGCTCAACTGGAAGACGCTGGGCAAGCTTTCCTGTCTGTCCAAATGCGATTCACGGAATACATACATGGTTTACGGGATATAATACACATACATAGTCAAAACATAGAACAATCCCATGGACATGCAGACTTAATGCCAATCTTCTATCTGTTTAGTATGAGCAACGGGTAGTGAACATAGCTCTGTATGTTAAGGCGTAAGATCCACAGATCTGAAGTAACAACAACGTTCAATTATAATAAGCAATAGATACGTGCATAATAATATATGTATAAATGTAAATATACCATTGAACTAGGTAATATATACGTATATCTGTATATACACCATTGAACTAGGTAATATATACGTATATATGTATATATACCATTGAAATAGGTAATATATATATATATATATATATATATATATATATNTATATATACTATAGTAACTAGTAATATATATGTGTATATATAATATACTTATATATATATATATAGTATATATAGTATAATATACACTATACGAACCACGCGCAGTAGTGTGGCGGG